CAGAAGGATCTTCAACGTTAAGAATTAGGAATTAGGAATTTGAAGTTAGGAGTTAAAACCACCTCTCGCACTGACTGAAATACTACAAAGTGAAGGTGGCCAGGACGACTCTAATGTGAGCCACTGTGTTTAACCTGAGTGATGCGACGATTCCTTCAAATCTGCATCGCTTAAGAAAGTCACGGCAGACGAGACATGCAAATGCACTCCATCAACACGCATTAACGGTAACAGGTGAGAATCAACATAAAGTACTGCCAATTTGTTCTTCGCTTCTTTCACTTGACAAACACGACGCAGTCGTCGATTGCTGACTGGACTGTGATGGCAACAAACACATTACATTACTGGTTATCTCCACACGCTCCATTCACTACCCCCACATACACGCCTCTAGGGCAAAACATCACTCCATCCCCGTGAGACCAAAACCTGACTTACTTCGTGTCTAGCCATGTGTGTGGAGGATTGGAAATGCAATTGTCCTCTATGGGTTGTCGGACTCACCAAGACCCAATCACCAATTACAAGGCAACTACGGTCGAGATTTACCCACTCAATGCAACTGCTGCAGCTGCAAAAGAAACTTCCTATCCTCATTCTCCTTCTCCTCCTTTTCTTCAAAAACAGCCCACACTCGTAGATGAGTCCATTGCAGAGTCCGACATTCTTACAAGAACAAGCAAGATCACATAACGCTTGCGGCAAAACTTCTACATGAGAAGAATTGCACTTTCGAGTGGAGGAGGAAGGGAGGAGGAGAAGAGGGAGATGGACGCTGCTTCACCTCATCCTTATCTCCATCCTTACTCTCATCCTTAACACTGGTATAAGACGGCAGCATGCCAGGTGAAATGGACAGTTGGCTCTGCAATAAAAGTGAGGCAGGGACAGAGGGGGTGGGACTACTTGCGCCTTGATTTTGGAGACCAACAAATGCAAACAAGCTTGCTTCTCCCTCGGAAAGGATTACAGGTGTCAACTGCTGTTAGTAAAGTAACTAAAGAGGAAGCATTTCATAATTCCTACCATAAAGAACACCTACTTCTTGCATCGCTTTATGGATAAAATATCATGTAAACGCGAAAGCTACCTTTTGTCAACTTTCACTTATTTTCTGTAATAACTACCTTCAATCACCGACTGCACCTCTTTCCACCAATGTTACACTCTGCCAGTTACTATCCAAAATATGCTTTGATGTACACCTCCTCCATTACTTAAGTGTCAGTCTTGTATCAAGAGAGCAAACTTAATATTGCCACTTCGTAATGTGCATAGACAACAGCACTGAGGCATGACGAACGAGGCTGCCTCAAGCCTTTGCACTTCTCACTTCCAGGTCGAAGACTTTGACGAATTCGCGAGCTTCCCACCTTTGATGTGGTGAGGTGCAGAGCTGCTCAGGCACTTTTCCTTGCTTGTCAGCTAACATCCTGTCGAGGTCAATTTGATGCTCGAAGAGCACAAATAGCACATTTCCAGCATCCACCCATAAGGAAAGTCGCCTGTGAAGTGGTCAGGAGTTTGGTGCCGCTTTCTTAAATGTTATCGGTTGGCGATTCTGTGTATGTTATGGCATGCTCGCCTATGCTTGAAGACTAAGGAATTGACAAGTGGCTATGCCTTCAAAACTTGTCTCCCATCCTGTATAAACCTTTGTCTTCAGCCGTTACTGTCAAATGTGAGTCCACCCATGCTGCAATCTGTTGCGACTGACCTCTCCTTGACAAGTGGAAACACTCGCTCTTATACGCCAGACTCCACTCTACACTATCTTCTAGGAGACCTCTTTTGTAAAACTGAAATATTTTGGGGCTGGAATAAAATATCTAGGAGCCTAAAGAGAGCATCAGTACTATCTCATGGAGAGGTTGAGAGGCCACTGACAGAAGTCCACATCACCTACATGGAGGTTGAATGAGGGGAAGTCAAGAAGGTCTTCTCATTTCAAAGTGACATTCTGCCACCGAAGTAATGAGTTACATCAAAATTCCTCTACAATGCTCACTATGATTGCAGAAATGAGCCATTGGGAAGGAGTGAGCCGAAGTCAGCACATTTGAGCTTTTCCTGTTACTGAGCAACTGATTTCTCCCACGCAGTCTAGACAATTGACAAACGGGAGGAGGATGTCTAAGAAGTCTGACATTCCTTGCTGTTGTGGTTTGAAGGCCAACCATGCCAACACACCGTCAACTTGGTGTGTCCGAAAGGTGCTCGACGCAAGATAATGACAACACGACAGGCCTCAGGATCGGCATCGCAAAATGCATGTGCAGTGATCTAATACTGTACCAGAGCCTTCCAAACAGCCTTATTTTAATTTTGTTGTTTACTTAGAGTGCCAATCATCGAAATTCACTGGATAAATACTTTCCACACCCAATTTTATAAATCACGTTGTCTTAGCTTCTTTGTGAATACGTGAATTGAATACATGACGAGTAATGACACCCATCCAAGTGGACTTCC